TCTCTCTCTCTCTCTCTCTCTCTCTCTCTCTCTCTCTCTCTCGCTCGCTCGCTCGATTCCAAGCGGGATGGAATGGCTAACCAGATGCGTTTGCGTTGTACGAGGCGTTTTGCAAACCCCCCTCCCCGGTGCACTAGGTAAGGGCTAGGAACTATAGATCTCAGCCAACAAACGTCGCTACCATGAGAGAAAGGGAGACGGATCATGTTTCGTAAACATCACAATCAAACTCGAGAGATACTCCCGAGCGGGCGCTTTTCAATGACAGGATACGGCGGCGAGGTTCGCTGCGACCGGCGGTTGTCCCTTGCATGGGTCCGGTATAGTTGGAACACGAGGGGAAGGATGGCACTACTGTGGGAGCAAATCAGATCCATTTTTTTTCAAACGTACACGAGAAATTATACAAATATCCACCCTCGTTCCGAGTGGTGGTTCGTTGCAACAATGCGGGTCTTGCGAGACGGTGTTTTCCTGAACCACAAGGGGTATGCACGATGCATGTACCCAATCTCTTCCTGCCCTCACGCAGCGAGAACGTCATGTTTCCGCACGTCGAGTCCATGTAGTGCAGGTTCACAATCACGGCGTTGAAATTGACACGCTATTGACTGCTTTCCAAAATCCTCACGAAAATAGTCTTCCCGTGAGTTCCCGATCTGCAAGGGGAAATGTTTAGTATACCCACAGCAAGAGGGTGACCAATCTCTTGCCCATTTCAGAACAAAACACTACCAGTATGACAAGTCCCATGCTAACCTTCAAGACGCTCCGGACAGTGTCGGACTGGAAGAAGGTCAGCCACCGTCCCACCTGAGCATTGCAAGAGGCAGGAGTGTCAGGGGGGAGCGCACGAACCGCCGCAATTTCCCGGACAACGAATGAGATCGATACTCACACATCGAAGCAAACGCAAGTACGGCGTTCGCGGAAGTCTGTCAACAGATGTGGGTAGTTGTGTTGGACGGTGACTCTCGGAAGCCGTCGTGTTGTACTGACTAGATCCGTCGGCGACAAGGACCATCGACCGACTTCGTGCACGTCTGTGTCTTCACCAGGGAGAGGACCTCCGGTACTCACATCTGTCGAGCCGGAGCTCGTGACGTCCACCTCAAGGTCCCCCACGACATACCCCTCGCCCGGTCCATCTCCGCGGGGAACCGTTTCACCCGACAGCATCAACAACCGAAGAGAATGGATGAGAGCGTGAAAGAGAATAGTCGCCCCGCCTAGCCCCAACATGGCGTTCGAATACTTAAGGATATCGATCTGTCCCGATTGGCATGCACTATGTAGCCAAAATGCCATCCCAACCTTCTTCGCCGAACCAACATTGCAGAGGTTCCCGCAAGGATGCTGACCGCCAGGCATTGCCGAGAACAAGTTGACAGTATGATTGCATATCCTGGGAGAACCGTCAGACGACAAGAATACGGATTCCAGCATCTTACCAACCCAAGCCATCACCAGTAACGATAGCGATAGCAGCAATTCTACCTCCACCGTCGCCGCCACCACGACGACCAACAACAAACGGCAAAAACAACAAATCCACCATCCAACAAATACGGCAACGACGACGACAACAACAACATCGATGCCGTTCATCTCACCTGTGGAGAGTACATGCCGATAAACCGCCATCAATCTGGCCCAGGTCTCTTCGTCGTTGTCGAGGTTTAGCGATACGAATAGTGTCGCACGGCCCGCACGACCCGCTCTCCTTTCTCCAGCTCCTGCAACGCACAAGAGATTGTGTGCCAGTTTCGGTGTGCTGTGGAGATAGCACTTTCTGCAACATGGAGGGCAGCTACGGAACGGATCTTGTCATTGTCGTCGTCGTCGTTGTTGATGCAAGCGTGCGGGTCGCCAGCAGTCACCCCAGGTACCGCAATGGGTTCAGCACGAAGGATGAACCGTCCTGCTTCGCACGAGAGAGTTGTTTCACGTTGGTCGTCTAACATCGAACCCTGTCGACGTCTGATCCATTTTAGTTCCATCCTTCAGAAAGACTGTCAAGACATTCGAGGTTTGTCATAGAGGTTTGACAAACGCCGATACTTGCCTCTGATCAGTGCGCTTCCTTCAATTCGACCTTCGTCGACGCGAGCTGCTGCTCTCGGCCGGACGCTGCGAAGGTGCAGTAGTATCACAAACATGCCAAATACCACCGACAGCGACGCTGGCATATTCCACAATGGGCGCAATGCGGCAACCGCTAGCCACATCCAGCCGAGACCACAGGTGCGCGCCGTCACGTGGATACATGTATTGTCATCCCGCTGAAACACCAATGGGTGAAAACAAAAACAGACGGCAGGTAGAACAAAACAACGATGAGGGTATTCACGAGGTGTGACAAGAACAGGGGGGCACATGCCGACCGCAGCGGGATATGGACAACCACGCCGCCATCTTGCGTGAGGCTCCTGCGTGTGGGTTACTTGTCTGCGGGCTTAGTGGCCGAGGACACTTAGGAACCCAGCAATAAGTCAACGAGAACGAGCACGAGAGTCGATCGGCCGAGATAGATGTTCAGAGGTGACGTGCCTGTCGCCATGACAACACAATCATGCACGATGATCTGCACATCTGCCGATCGTTAGCTCTGTGTTTGAGCGATGGGGCTTCCTCGATGCCTTTTGAAGTCCCGAGGGCCAACCCATGCCGTTTACCACATCTCCGTCATTATTTTGTTTTCGCGTGATATCGGTGGGACTAGACCATGTCTAAGCATGTACGGCGTACGCTTAACGCATGTAACAAACGAACGGCCGTGCGTCCTCGTCTGTGGACACTTCTCAAGAATTAAATTTGATGGCATGCTGTACTTACAACCAGGTTGAGCACCAGTTCTTCCCAGCTGCAGCAGTCGGCCTCGTGCGCGACCCCGTTCGGTTCCACGCGTGGCAGCTGTTGGCCCCGCTCGTCCGTCTGCAAGACGGACTGCGCATACGACAAACTCGCGCTCTCAGAGTCCCAGGTGAAGGGAGAGATCGAGAACCCCGTACCAGTCGGCTCTGGTGTAATCGGCGACGGTAACAACGTTGCTTCCGCTGCGGCTGCGTCGCTAGCCGCTGCGTCGCCCACGTGGTGCCGAGCCACGGATGCTGTGGCGTCGTCGGGTGGATCGTCATCCTTGTCCTGCCGGAACGTGTCGACCATAACGGTTTGTGGCGCACCCTTGCCTAAGGAGGACGAGGGCGGCGGCGACGGGGTGCCGGTCTGGGGGCGTGGGGCCAGGCGAGGAAACGAAAACGGGAGGGAGGAGGGGGGTGCGCGCTTGTTTAATCATGCGAGATGAGCATCTACAACGCGGGGTCGAGCACTATGGCCCAAGACAGCTTTCGCTTGAATATGGTTTGACAGGTCTCCATGGTTTCGAGTATTGGATACAGGGGAAGGAGGGGCCTGCAAAGACTGAGAGGTAGCGTTTCGGAATCCCTGTTCATGATGTTCTACTAGACCGACCCACCTCGGAAAGGGCACTTGTTCTCATTGATTGACCGCGCAACAGCAAGAGCGGTTCAAGGCAGAGTAAGCCCTGTGACTTGCTGGTCATCAGGTCTCATACCCCACCCACCAGAGGGACTCAAGCATCGCATACAGACCTACAGGCTACTTAAATCATATGGACCACCACTGGGACCCCAGACAGACACATGGGGAATAACTCGTGTGGTTGCTTGGAATTTGTGAGATCAATAACACCGCGGTACCCAAGGACAGGAGAAATTTGATGGCATGCTGCACTTACGACGAGGTTCAGCACCAGAACCTTCCAGCTGCAGCAGTCCGTCACGTCCGCGACCACGTCTTTTTCCGCTCGGGACACCTGGCCCCGGTCTTCGGCCTGCTTCCCGTCCGGCCATTCCACCCTCTCAGGGCCCTCTGGCGGAACGGCCGACGTTACCGACGCTGCTTCCGCTGCCGCTGCGTCGTCCACGTCGTCCCGAGTCACGGATGCAGCATCATCGTCGACGACGTGGTCGTCGTTGTCCTGCAGCAACAGGTTGCCCATAACGGGGTATGGCTTGCCGTTGCCGCAGGAGGAAGGGGACGGCGGCGACGGGGTACCGGTCTGGCGGGGGGGGGGG